CGAGTAACATGAGAAATCAAGTTCATTGGGATCGTTGTTGCGATAGGTTCTCCAGTGACAAATTTCAAGTAATTATAGATTTGTTAGAACTTGATGATTTTTTATACATAATTTCAAGTAACTATTACTTATTATAGTTAATCATAAACAGAAAATATCATAGACAAATAAAACTAATCGCAGCAATCAAAAGTATCCAAGCTTACATGGTCGGTTATCGTACTCTCAGCATCGCAATAAGAAGGTTAGTACTTATTTTTTGACTTCATTATCGTATTTATATGTTTGTGATTCCTGTTCTTGGTGGCACATCTTGCAGTTATGGTGTGCCGAAATCTTTTAAAGTTGTTTTTCTACAGGTTTGGATTTTTGGATCATATGAAAAATAAGTCGTTATGCTGCAAAAATTTAGTTAAAATTTAAGAATTTTAATAAATGTAATTTATTTGACAGGCCAGTACAGAGACCAAAGAGCCGATGTCTGCTATAGACAATTGGGCGGACATGCATCGTCACAGGGACTGTTGGGTTAATACCCATGCGGAACAGACTTTCATAAGTATTTCTACTTTTCATATTAAATTTTTTTATACTGAAATAGTGGTTTTATAACACGTAAAAATAATTATAATGTCTTATTATGTAGAACACCCTGGAGGAGGATAGACAAATGCAGAGAACACAGACTACTGCAAGCTCGACTAGACTCCCCCTTGACAAGCATGAGGTTTTGGAGCAAGTTCTTGGCATGCGTAAAGGACATAAGATAGGAGTGGGTCCGACGCTCTCCCAAAGGCATTACTCCGGGGCTTCTCCTTCATCTGCTGGTTCATTCTCGGACGCAACCTCATCGGCTCAACCTAACTCACGTATGGATCGTTATTTAAAGAAATCATACCGGGAACAAATGAAGATTTATGACAATCAGGTGAAGATGTTAGAGTTAGTGTCTAAATTGCAGCTCAACATCCAATTACCTACGATTGCTCATCCAGAACCAGTTAACCTAGACACTCCTCTGCCTCCTTCAGATGATGACAGTCCTGATGATGATTCAGCTGTTGGCGATGCTGCAAACTTAGACGAATAGTTCTGTTATATGTTCTATTTTATTTTTCACTTTATTTAGACTTTTATATTTTTTTGAACATTATATATGCACTTCATGTAGTATTTAGATCATATTTTATAAATTTATTTAGATTTACTGTTTTTAATATTAATTTATATTTCACTTTTAATGTATCTTAATAAATTATATTCAGTATGTAACATAATAACGTTTAATTAAAATTATTAAAAATTAATTAATTGCCATTTTTTAAAAAATTTTAAAAAAATATATTTATTCCAGTTTTTTGCGACGACTTTTTTATACGTGTCGTCGCAAAAAAGGAAGATTATTTATGACGACATTTTGAAATTTATCGTCGCAAAAAATATTATATCACGACAATTTCAGAACGGCGTATTAGCGACGCTTGTCGTCGCAAATATATTTGCGACGACACTGTGTCATCGCAAAAAAAGTTTTTACGACGACATATCTGCGACGACATGTCATCGCTAAAACTATTATTTGCGACGACACTAGGGTTTTTGTCGTCGCAAAAACACTTTTTTCTTGTAGTGCATTTACATTTTTAATCTTTTATTTGTGAATAACAAATTAAAATTTCATCTATATTTTCTCATATTAGATTTAATTAAACTTAGGATTTATTTAACCAAACATATTTAAAAACTCTTCTAAAATAAAAAAAACCTCTTTTCCATTAACTATTCATATATGCTTATTTTATTCTACTACTTATATAGGCAACTTTTACGGTGAAACCCACTAAAAAATCGTGCTAGTAGAACCCCCACTTTTAATCATTAGATTAATTTTTTAACGATCAGATTTATATAAATTCGTATTAAAAATTTACAATGCGCCACACAGAACTGTTCATATTATAAATCTAATTATTAAAAAATTAATTCACCAGGGTGGAGATTTTTTTGGAGATCTCACCGTCGCACGGTAAAAAATGCCTAAAAATAATAGCAAAAGCTATCCCAAACCAGACTTTAACGAAAGTAATACCAGTCGGCAACAAACGATACTAAAAGTAAATCAAAATTCATCGTCAGGCTTTATTGTATAGAGTGAAGCTGAAGAAGTCTTATTTCAATGGACAGCTTGAAAGCGTGCAACATATACAACAAAACTACCGGTCAACAGATAAGTAATCATATCCGAAAACTAAAAAGTCAGAAAAACTAAGATGAAAAACTCTTTCAGCTTAGACAAATGCACTTCTGCAGTTCATCTCTCTGCTAATCTTTCCTTGGCGTAATGGTACCGAAACCATTGCAACTAGTCAAGCATGCAAAGGATGCAGAGAAGCGTAGCTGTTATTCATCAGAAAGACTTCTTCAGTGCCTCATTACACTACATGTAAACAGAAAATCACATGTCAAAGACAGCTTAAAATCAGAAAATGTTATTTTTTTTCTTTTCCCCTTTTTATTTCCCTTTTTTCCCCTAAGGTCTGTTAAAGGGATACAATTAGCAATCAATCACGTTCGTACTTATTGCACGAGTTTAATATGTTTTAATTTGTTCGGTCCAAAAGATACATGGTCAACTTTCTTTCTAGAAAATGGAAACTATAGGCAACGTAGCTCCAAGGATAGCCTATTCTTTTCTTCACCCTACCCTCAATTCCAATAGTTCCCGAGAGTATTGAATGGACCAACCAAAATACGCCAAGAGAAGTCTCCTACTTACAACCAACCAAAATACACCAAGAGAAGTCTCCTACTTACATGTCATGAACCGCAGGCAAATTACAAATATCTGTAATAACAGATAACTTACAATGCAACTACATAAAAAGAAACTTGTAAACCATCATTCCTCATATATGATGAGCAACAGGAATCATGTAGTATGAAATTTCAATTAAATAATCAAATAAGCGAGATAAAGGATATGCATGATAAGAATAAATTTTCTTTGTCAATTTTTGTCTTCCACAAGTCATTTCTTGGAGAATATTATTGCTATACGAAGATACTACTTTGTCGGATAAGTCAGTGTCTTGATAGGGGTGATCTGAATACGATTCCAACAACCAACTTGAATCTTTTTCCATCGTGTGGCCGCTTTGAAGAATTTAATTATTACCTCTGATATTGACTATTGATAGCCTAAGAATTTTCCTGGTAATTTATTTCTCTCTTGTAGTAGAGTACTAAAATAATAGACACAATAAATTTCATGAATGAGTAAAGGAGACAAATTTTATATAACCAAATAACAGTTTTTCTGTAAACAATTATGAATCATGAGCATTGAAATCCATTTTGACTAAAATCAGCACAAAAATTCAATTCATTGCATCTTCACAAAAGTGGATAAAAGCAGAGCATACCTCATCACTGGGAAAGAAGTGTGCAAGTGAAACCATCGGATACAAGTTTGTTAACTGCATTCCTAAGTTTGACATAGTCATCCTCTTTGTTGTACACTTGATGCGAAATGCGAGCATACCCAGTTATCGAACCGGTCTCACCATTCTTAGGAATCCGGTAATAAATCGGAACTTCAACACCAAACTTCTCTCTCAAATGCGTCCTTAAATTCGTAGTATCCTTCTCACAGGAAATCCCTAAACAAGCAGGCAACCCAATCATGATCATACTTGCGCACATTTCAGGAGGGCACCCAAGATTGGTCTCCCACGCCTTCGCCAACATCTTCCCCATCTTCACGACTTGCTCATGATTTCGCTTCTTAATCCCCTCGATACCTCCTTCGAACCGATTGACGAATTCCACAACTGAAGGAACCACCAACTGAGGGCTGTAATCCCTGGTTCCAATCCAAGCACTCTCTATCGCCAACCCATTGCCATACTCATGGGACACCACAGGGTGATGCAAATCCGATAACTTGGACGATTTCCGACAGTACAACAGCGCGATAGACGGCGGACAGAAGAACCACTTATGCAAATTGCTAGCGTAATAATCCGCCCCAATTTCTTCCATATCAACGTCAGTACACCCAATACCATGAGCGGCGTCTATAAACACCTGCTCAACGCCTTCTTCCCTACAGATTTTAACCAATTCCTTAACGGGAATAACCACACAAGGCATAGAAGTAACGTGATCAATAACAGCAAGCCTAATTCTCCTTCCATTAGCTTTTCCCCTCTCCAAAGCCTTCTTAAACTCGGTGATAATCTCTTCGCCGGACTTAACGGGAAAGGGCAAAGGTACCTCGATGACGTGGCCGCCGGCGCGGGTGACGTAAGCCTCGATGGACTTCTTGACGGAGCCGTAGGCGTAATGGAGCATCAAAACGGCGTCGCCTCGGTGGAACTTGCCGTCGGTGAAGCCCCAGGCCATCTGCTGGAGGACGATGGCGGCGGCGGTGGTGGCGTTGTCGACGATCGAGACCTCGTCGACGTGGTCGGCATTGATCAGGTCCGTGATGATCGTCCTCGACTGGAGAATCCCCTTCTTGAGCTCGTTCAAGTAGAAAGCGTCGGGCTGGGCGAGGAACCTCATCTGCCACTCCCTCTGCGCCTCGATTACGGAGCTAGGGCAGCACCCGAAGCTCCCGTTGTTGATCCGTGCGATGCCCGGATCGTGGTGAGAGAACTCCGATCGGATTTCGGATTCGGTGATGAAGGACGACGACGAGGAGGAGAGAGAAAGAGAAAGCCTCGGCTTCTTCGACGCGGGGTGGGCTTTGGTGGTGTCGCCGTTGAGCTCCAGATGGTTCTGGTCGTGGCCGTGGCCATGGCCGTTATGGGGAGAGGAAGCCATTGAAGGGGAATTTGCAGGATTCTAGGGTTTGGAATAATTGGAGAAGATTAGAGGATGAAGACGAAGAGGAGGAAGAGCATCAGAGCATGTAAGTAAGAGAGAGAGAGAGAGAGAGAGAGAGAGAGTGTGTGACTGAAGAAGTAAAAGGAGATAAGTTTTAAGGAAAATATAAAAAAGGAGAGGGTAACAAATGGCAGGTTTTAGTAATAGGATTAGGGGGAAGAGAGAACAGAGAAGTGACGAGTGGGAAACATTGGAGCACCCAATAACCGCATTGAAAAAACTAATCACTAATCAGGTACCGCCACCAAAAACTCTCTCTGACTCGTACTCGCACACCCATTTTAAGTATAACTTTTAACGCACGTGACTCCCCACCTTTGCTCACGTGATTTACGTACACTTGCATTAACAGGAAGAGAAAAAGAGGGGAAAAAGTTGCTGAAGAAGAAAATGAGGGGCACTTTTATTAAATTTAAGCTAGATGTTTAGTTTACAAATTTAAAATTATAATTTAAAATAATTTTTAATTTATATATATTTTTATAAAAAAAAAATATTATAATGAGTCTAAATTATGATTTAAATTATGACACGAATACTTATATTAAACACGAAATTTGTGATGTAGATATGCTTATATTTGTAACAAATATTGTCTATGGTTTTTTTTTTTTTTTTTTCTGAAGGTCTAGAATCTATTGATTGCAATTTTCATAGCTTTAAAAGTAGTATCTCATTTGGTACTTGTTATTATTAATGTAAATTTGAGGAGTTTGGTATTTGTTCATAATGTTGCTAGGAAAAGAATATAAAGGGAATTAAAAATCCTAAATGGTTGTTCTTTTGAAGTGTAATTAAAAATTCTAAATGATTGTTCTTTTAAAGTGTAATTTGAGTGTAGTTTTTGAGTTAAATTTGAGTTATAACTTGAGTTGAAGTTGTAACTTGAATAAAGTTGAGTAAAGTTGAATAAAGTTGAAACTTAAAAGAACATGAACTTGAATAAAATTGGAACTCGAGTTGTTTTTTTTTTAATTTTTTTGACAAAAGAACAACCCCTAAATTTTTAGTGTTTTACGTACTTTTTTTTAGAAGATAGTTGATAGTTGCAACGAAATGGACATAGTTATGGCTAGAAAGAAAGGGGATGGAATGGTTTTGGAGTCTTTTTTGGGAGAAAGAGAAAAATAGATCAAGACTTGAGATGAATTAAAATTAATAAGAAAATAGTTTATATAAGTTAATAAATAGGCCAAATTATTATTTTTATCCATAACTTGTCTGGTTATGAACCATAACTTGACAAGTTATTGTCCATAATTCACGATTTTTGTCCATAACTTGTCTGGTTATGAACCATAACTTGAAAAATTATGACCTATTAATTTCTATAATTAAAAATTGACCTATATACTTTCTTAACCTTTTCATATTGGTATATTTTCTACTATTTTTGTCTTTTTTTTTCCTCCCCTTTTTAAGAGTCCCTATCATAATTGATATATAGAATGTGTGTGTGAATATAAATACGGATATAATAGTAAAACATGCGCTACAACCATTCAGTGTCTGTATAACGCAATCTCTATAAAGTAGACTTATCCCCTAAAATTTTTCTTGCTCTCAGCCTGAAGTCGATGAAGCCATGATATTATTATATAACATTATGTACAGCTACACAGACAAATATTTTGTATAACTATTGCCGCTGACATTGTGTGTGTATTATTATTATTATTATTATTTGGTGAACGCCAAAATTCATTCGTCATAACAAGCATTGACTCCACCAATCGAAAATCAGAAGATTCCAGCTGACCCATTTCTTTGCAATTTAAGCTTTGTTACCGGCCTTGCATTTAGGTAAAACAACTAAAGATCCAAAATAAGTACAAGAAATAGTAGCATACCGAAAATACATTACTTGTCGTTAATATGTTTACTTGCGGATCTTTGATGTAATTTATAGTACTAGTACATCTAAGAATTTTTAAATTAAATAGTTATAAATAGTCTCAAATTATGGATCATCTCGGACCTAAACTCTCATAGGGAGTATGTTATTTTTAGGTAGAAAGAGAAAAAAAATCAACATTGTAGAATTCCCATTGATTTGCCAACAAAACATTAATCTAATACATTGGTTAAGGACTAACGAGAAAGCAAGAACATAATAAAGAACAAAAGGCCGTCAACAAGCAAACACATGCCAAGGGAGTGACGCGGGTGCTAATTTAGGATATCGTTTTTTTTTTTTTTTTTTTTTTTTTTTTTTTTGGGTTTTTTTTTTTTTTTTTTTTTTTTTTTTTTTTTTTTTTTGGAGATTTTGATGTGAAATCCGTTGTGTTATACGTAAGCTTCCTCACCATACAAATTGATTAAAACCAAGCCAAAACAAGACGCCAATTTGTCTTGTGTTGAGTGTTTGAGGGTCCACATGACACAAGTGGGGGCAAAGGCACAAAGTAATTGGCTTTGGGATTATTTTGGTTAGGAATTAGGCCCCATGTCACTTTCAAGACGTTTGCAATTTTGCATAAACACCTGTAAACATGCAGATATCAACTACGGACTGTGATTTGTCAATACTCAAATATGATTCGTCGCACGTTTATTGCTTATTGACTAGAATTCTAAGTGCTAGGGTCCATCATCTATCCTTCATTGTTTGAAAATTTAGCGTAGATAAGAGTATTGGATTACCAAAAAAACAAACAAATAAAAAAAGTACCAACTTTATGTTAGAATGTGATGGGCTGGCCTTCTAAATCTAGTACATGAATAGGTCTATTTCCCAAAGGCCAAGTAATAAAGCCCTTTATTCCTATCGCAATTTTATGTCAGAATGTGGTGGTTGCTAACTGACTGAAAGAGTCAAAGAAGCCTTGAAAAGTATGAGATTTGAAAACGAAAAAATAAAACACGTCATTTGAAAAAAAAAAAAATATTATAGGAAAATTTTCATATTAATACCATGTGTTATAGCGTAATTATCTTTTAATATCTTATGTTTTTAATAATTTTAAATTAGTATTTTAACGTTTTAAACAATTATTTTTAATATCTTAAAGTCATTCTTTAAGATGTAAAATGTCAAATTTACCATTCTCATTACTTTATTAAAAACTAATAAATTTTAAAAAAATACTGAAAATTTTATTTTAATTTAAAGCATTATTTTTATTTTTAATTTTTAAATGTTTTAAAAAAAATTTCAGAATTTTTCTAAATTTATTATTAGTTTTTTAGTTAATTAATAAGAATGGCAACTTTGACATTTTACATTCTAAAAAATAATCTTAAGATATTAAAAAAATAATTTTCTAAAGCGTCAAGATACCAATTTAAAATTACTAAAAATACAAAGTACCAAAAGACAATTACGCTATACGGTACTAATATGAAATTTTCACTTCATGATATATCATGGATTTATTTATAAATGTACTAGAGTAAAAAAGTGGGACAACACAATACATTCAATTTTAGAAGACGTTTGGTTCATTGATTAGAATCATGTGATTAGAACTATTTTTTATTTACGTGTATTTTTTGTGAGAGAAAACACTGTAACGAATCATGAACCATGATTCAAATCATAGTTTGAATCCTCCGACCATTCATGATATTTATACCATTGCCCTTTCTAAAATGGAAAAGACTAGGCCTCGTTCGTTTCAAACCATTCCTGATTTTTACACCATCGCCCTTTCCAAAATGGAAGAGACTAGGCCTCGTTCGTTCTGTCTTGCGGTACCCGACACTTCTAATGTCCTTTATTCTTTTGGGAAGCATGAAACACCAGTTGTTCACCAAGTAGTCTGCCTTAAGGAATTAAACTCTCAATTATATGACCACTCAACTAGAAAACGACCAAACTTCTAGGCAGAAAAATATTCCAAGGCACATTCATTTTCAAGGCAAACTTAGCTTATACAACGCATATGGTCTCTAAGATACTAAACAACTCATTCATGAATGGCAACAACTAAAAAACAATCTAAGATTGCTTTGGCTTGTCATAAGCAGCTATGTTCTGTGGTTCACACTCGGGACTAAATAAACGTACCAGCAAAGCAGAGGTTGAGCCTACCGATATTGCCCCGCAAGCCGCCCACCGGAAACTCCTAGGAACTGTAATTCTAGGACCTGCACAAGGCATAGGCAAACACCCAAAATGTTTGTATTTTCCGACCAAAGTGAGTGACCAAAACAAACAAAACGACGAAATCATTATTCATTAGCATCTCAATGCTAGCATGAACTGACCATAATGCAATCTGCAAAGAACCCAGAATCCCAATCCTCCACCAACACTGAAAATTCCAGCAGTATGTCTCATCAATCTGGAACAAGGTTTGGCGTCTGATCTACACAGCTCACCATCTGAGAACCCAAAGAATCGCCTCAACGACATTTGCGTATCACTTATAGCTCCTTTGAGAGAAATCCATTCAAATGTACAACTTCTTGTCAGCAAAAAGAAAAATGCTTTTACTGATTTCAACCAAACTAAACATAGAACATTAACCCAATTATTTTATATTAACACAAAAATTTTTCGTACTGCGTCATTTTGTCAAACACTTGGAAGGCAAACTGGAAAAAGCAAAGCAGAAAAACCAACGAAAAAGTTTGCGGCTTTAATGTATTGAGTAGAGGAATAAACACAATAAACAATGAAGATTTCGAACACCTCCACGAAGAGATGGCTCGTTTCTTGTTCCAACTTGCAAGCGGATCCGGATGTGAATTATTTAAGTAAATTGCAAGGATAAGGTGAAGTTCAAGTAAAAATATTCGTCACAAGCTTCAATTTTGAATGAGTGAATCTTATAGTTAGAAAACACAATGTAAGAAATTCAGAGAAACGAAAAAGATTGTGTTTTTGCCATCTTCCATGTTGGGTATAATTAGGAACAAGGAACGGCAGAATCAACTGACCATCATGCTATCAGAAGAAACGATGATTATATTGTGAGAGAGAGAGTCAGAGAGAGAGGCTTACCGGAGTGAGTTGGAAGCGCGCAACCGTGGGACTGTGGGAGGCTGGGCGGGACTGAGCCAACAGAGAGAGAGAGAGAGAGAGAGAGAGAGGCTTACCGGAGTGAGTTGGAAGCGCGCAACCGTGGGACTGTGTGAGGCTGGGCGGGACTGGGCCAACATGAGAGACTCAGAAGGAGAGTCTGAGCGACACAGCGCAGGAGTCAGAAAGTTTGCAAAAACGACAATCTTTGAAAAAAAAAAAACCAGAATAGTAACCCCCTCTCTCTTTTTTATTTTTTCTTTTATTTTATTATTATTATTATTTTTTTTTTTTTTGAGAACTCACAAAACAATTTTCTTTTGGTCTATCAACTATCAATGTAAAATTTGGATAATTTTTGAAGTCGTTATATCAATAAAAGTTTTTCAAAATTAATTTTGCAAATAGATATTTCTCTTAAAACTCATTTTACAAAAGTTCTGAGACTAACGCAACGGAATTAAAAAGAATTCGATTTGCGGTTCCACCAAACACATTCTAGAGACAAAACTACGAGTGATATTTTGAGTTTCAAAACGACAAGATTTTATTAGTTTAAGCAGCGCAAACGTTTTAATTTCAATTTATGCACATCATTTATGATTGGAGGAGTAACTTAGAGTTTGTTCAGTTATATTTTTGAATTATGGTGATTTGAATATAGATTTTAAGTTAAATTTAAGTTGAAGTTATAACTTGAGTTTGTATTTAGTTGTTTATATTTGAGTTATAATTTGAGATGATAATCTTTTTGAATATGTGTTATGGTGTGTCAAAACTTGAGTTTGTATTTAAATAGTATAGTAATAAAAACTTAGTGATGATGAAAAATTTTAATAGGGTATATGGGTGATATTTTATTCGTCTTTTTATTGTGAACGCATAAAAAAAGAATCATTTCAATCAGAATTAAAACGAAAAAGTTATCTCGTTCACTTCGCTGATTCGAGTTTAGAATTCAAGTTTTTCTACAGTAAAAAGCTCTCACAAACAATCACATCTAACTTTTTTGCTACAGTAAAAAGCTCTCACATAAAATCACATCTCAACTCGAATTCTAAACTCGAATCAGCGAAGTAAACGGGTAGTGTTTTTAATAATAGAAAAAATATTGTTCATTAACTTGAGTTTGAGTTTAGGAACTTGAGTTGAAGGGGAAACTTAAACTCAAATGGGCTGTTCGGCAGCCCCTTTCTTGAGTCAAAAACTCAAAAAAAGCAACTCGAGTTACAACTTTATTCAAGTTCATGTTCTTTTAAGTTTGAACTCGAGTTTGGTACTAAAACTCGAGTTTAAGTTTCCACTTCAACTCGAGTTCAAAAACTCAAACTCAAATTAATGAACATTATTTTTTCTATTCTTAAAAATGCTATAACTTTTTCGTTTTAATTCTGATTGAGATGATTTTTTTCTATGCGTTGACAACAAAAAGACGAATAAAACCCCACCCATATACCCTATTAAAATTTTCCATCAGCATTGAGTTTTTATTAAAATACTATCTAAATACAAATTTAAGTTTTGACTCACTCAAACACAAACTCAGAAAGATTATTATCTCAAACCCTAACTCAAATGTACACAACCAAACACAAACTCAAGTTACAACTTCAACTCAAGTTATAACTCAAACTCAACTCAAAATCTACACTCAAATTACCTAACTCAAAAACGGCAAAAGAACAGCCTCATATTTTAACCGTAAACTCAAGTTAAAATTCAAGTTAAAACTTAAGTTCAAACTCAAATTTTATAAAAGAACATGAACTTAAATAAAATTATAACTTGAGTTTAAACTGTTTTTGAGTTTAGGTACAAACGAACAAACCCTTAATTTTTTTTTTTAATTAAATGGAAGGCTCAAATTAGACAATTGCCTCTCTATCATGAGTTTCAATGTTTTTTTGGACTGAATTGTAACGGAGGGACTATGTAGAACTTTTACAAAGTTTGGAGCAACTTTGTATAAAGTGATGTGTAGGTTGGGAAATAACTTAAGGCCTCATTCATTTCACTAATTCAAGTTTTAATTTCAGTATTTATATAGTTAAAAGCTCTCATAAAAAGTCACATCTAACTTTTTCTGTTACAGTAAAAAATTCTCACATAAAATTATATTTCAACTTAAATTAAAAACTCAAATCTGCGAACCAAATGAGGCCTAAAACACTGGACCTATAATTTGAGGTCTTTTTTTTAAAAATATTTTAAAGTAACAAATAACCTTAACAGTCGAAACTTATAAAAAGTTTCTACTTGACTTCTGTCAGTATATAAGTTTAGCACCCATGATTTTTTTTTTAGGTTTAAATCACTTCCAATAATCAGATTCTCGTGTCATTGTTATTTATATTTCTATAACTTATCTATCAGATTCATTAGTAATTACAAGTAGGTCTGTTAGGTCTAATATGGAAGTTAATCTTTATTATCAAATCCTTAGGTTCAAATGCAAAAGCCGTAAAATGATATTCAGTTGAACACATCAAGACCAACGAAAATGAAAAATGGGGTAATAAAAAAAAAGGAGTTTATTTAAGTAAAGGATAATTTTTAAAAATACCCTTTAAAATTTAACTCCTTTTTATTTTTATCTCTTAATATTATATTTTTATCTTTTAAATTAAAATTAATCAAGGATAGAGTTTTTATGGACACCGTATTCAGCGTTTACAACGTTCCAAAATGGAACTCGGATACACTACACTACTGGCCATCGATTGTTTCTTGTCGTTCTGACTATAAGCCACGTAAATAAAGGTACCAAAAGTACAGTGAAAATAACTCCATAGAAGATCTCATAAGGTATTGGTTAAAAGATGAAAACAAAAAAAAAAAGCAAAAAAAAACAAAAGAAGAAAATATTTATTGAGGTCACCCGAGTAATATATGATAATATGGTACTTTTAAGAAAAAAAGACGAATATTCTTTTAAAACGTATGAATACTGTATTTTACTTTTTATATTTAATTAATACATTTTAATTAAAAAATTATATTTATAAAAAAAGATTAATTAAGAATAAATAGTAAAACTTTTAAAATAATGTATTTAAAAAGAGAATTTACTAATTTTTTCTTACTTAACTTTTTATTACGATTGAAAAACCTTGAAAAAAAAAAGAAAACCTAATAATACGTAACAGTGGATTATTCGATAGATAAGTATGTCTATCTATATTAGAGTGTGTGGTCACACTTTGTATTTATTTCTGTTTCGCATTTTTTTATCAAAAAAATTCTCTGGTGCGCATAGTGTATTAATAAGTCAGGTTTTTTTTTAACGTTAAATGTGCATATTTTTTAATTTTTACGTGATTTTACACAACTTTAAAATATATAAAACCTGATCTATTAATATATTAGCGTATTAAAAAATATATTTTTCTTAATAGAAAAGAAAAATGAGGGAGGACCATTAGCCGTACCTTTTTTTATTTTTTTAAGGGCTCGAAATATTGAGAAATGTTTGTATTGAGTTACGGCAACTTACACCAAATGTGTTTTTTATGTTCTCAAAGATATATGCCAAAAATGGAAGCTCTCATATGCAGAGTGTATATATATAAGAACAAAGCGCTCAAATTTAAATGCTAATATGCTGCTTCGTGGCCACTTTCTGTTGGTTGTGGAAACTTCTGGGAAGCTTCAAGTGGCCGCAAAATTTATGGCATTCCATGTCCATACTTGAACGGAAAAAAAAAAAAAAAAAAAGATTAAATAAAAAAATGTTTTTTTTTTTTTTTTTTGCTGAATAAATGGTTAGCTGTCTACTGTCCATTGCGTGTTTCGCGTGTGGATTTTTCTATTTGGGTTGAATTATTTATTTATATACTTCATCTCAATGAGGCAAGAGTTAGCTTAGTATTTTACCATATCATTTTTTATCTAATTATTTTATAAGTTGAATGAGATTTGTATATAGTTTCAATATACTGCATTTAACAAAAAAAAAAAAAAAAGGTTATACCAATTGTAATTTGTTTTTGAAGTTTAATTAGTACTAGATAATTTAGCTAATAATAATGGTTTATAAAAAGTAAAAAAAAAAAAAAAAAGGCAAAAAGCTTTAAGAAACAAAAATCTAATGTCAACTAAAGTGTATATTTTTTGGTAGGCAATAAGGTACACTCGCTCACGTGCAAGAAAAGGCGCGTGGGGCTTGTTTATTTTTCATGTAGAATATGATTTATTTCTTTATTTATTAAAAGGAATAATAATATGATATTTATTTGGGAGAGACTGAGAGGACAAAGACAAGTTTCCGTCATTGAGTGTGCTGTTTAACTATCTTCCTCTCCTTACAAAAAGGCAGGGAAGGAACTCCTATTTCTCAGGATACACTCATAATACTCTTGTGAAGTTCCTCTCCATATCTCAACTTTCTCCAAGCAAGGTAATTTCAGTTTGACTTTTCCTGTTCTTTTTAGTGATAATCATCTTCATCAACATGACAATCAGTACATAATGCATAGTGGTCACCATGGTTAGTAATACATCCTTTTAGACTTGATTTGGAGACCAAACCATATAATCATTTTTCTTTGGGATTATATAAATATATATATATATATATCTGTTTTGTTATGGTGATGAAGTTGTTGTAACTGTCTTGACATAACAATACTTATGTCTTCTTTCACATGGATTTCTGATTTCTTGTATAGTTGGGTAATAATCTTTCACGGTTGGTCCTGGTTTCGTGGACCATCATCCTTTTCTTTTGTATGGGCTTTTTGTATACGTGAGGTGATTTTTCATGGTTAGTACAACTTTTTGTTATTTTTCTTACTTGTTCCTGAAATTGAAACTTTTGTTTCATATCTTCTTTTAACTCTCTTTTTGTTTCCTGTTCTATAAAGAACGGATTTTTAAGCCACTCTTTTCAATCCTGTGTTTAAATACTCTACAACTGTTTCCTACTTGAGATTTCCAATAAATATTTCTTGATTTTAGACAGGTAATCTACTTTTTTTTTCCTCCCCCTTTTCAAGTTCTCCACTATCCTCTTTTAAGATACCAAGGTTGTTCTACAGTGGAGATGATGATCAATTATTATTATGATTATTATTTTTTCTCTGAGATGATCAATTAATTTGGTGGTTTAATTTAATTTTTCTTTAAAGCCTTGACCGCAAACACAATATTTTCCTAGCTGATTCAGAAGGATCTGTGATCTGTCCTTTATTAGACCTTTTTCCTTCATGACATACACATATAAACTGAGTGTGGTAATTTGTTCAGTTTTTGAAACATGTTTACTTCTATGAGATATCAGTTTCAAAGAATTCCAAAAAGTGAGGTCATATTGATACCTCCTCTGTATGTCAAAAAACTGTCCTATTTATTTTGGCCCTCTTTTTGACAGGATTTCTCTAACCATGTGGCACAAGCATCTTTTGGCGAGTTTTTACATATGGGCCTTAATATGTTCACTTTTTCCTCCTTCCTCTAATGGCTTGATGAGAATAAACTTGAAGAAGAGAGTCCTTGATCTTGAAAGCATAAAAGCTGACAGAATAGTAAGAGAGGCAAAATACAAAGGGAATCGTTATTTGGGTAGCTCTGGTGATGATATAGTACCTTTGAAGAACTATTTGGATGCCCAATATTATGGAGTGATCGGTATTGGCTCGCCGGCTCAGAATTTCACTGTCATATTCGACACCGGCAGTTCCAATCTTTGGGTTCCATCATCAAAATGCTACTTTTCTGTAAGGACTTTCTGGCTTAGATGTTGCAGCTTTTGATGTTCTTTATTAATCTTATTTGTTCTAATCTGTTAATGTTTCGTAACTGTAACTGTGTTTAGCTTGCTTGCTATTTCCATTCCCGGTACAAGTCAAGCAAGTCCAGTACATATACTAGTATTGGTAAAGTGATCAATTTTCATGACATTGCTAGTTTGTCTATATGACTGTTATGAGACACTAGTTGACTCATACTTGTTGACTTGTGATTCAGGAAAGTCTTGTGAAATAAATTATGGATCTGGATCCGTATCTGGTTTCTTCAGTCAAGACAATGTTCAAGTTGGAGATGTTGTTGTGAAAGATCAGGCGAGCTTCTTCTTCTTCTCCTCTCTCTCTCTCTCTCTCTCTCTCTCTCTCTCTCTCTCTCTCTCTCTTCTTTTCTTTTAACATGTTTCGAGAATTCTTTGTGCTTTGGCTACAGAAAATGAAATGTAAATCTTTTTCAGTCTATTTATTTCATTCTAACTCAGGTTTTCATCGAGGCAACACGAGAAGGCAGTCTCACATTTTTGCTGGCCAAGTTTGATGGACTTTTGGGGCTTGGTTTTCAGGAGATTTCAGTTGGGAATGTTACTCCAGTCTGGTACTTATATAAACCAATTTCTCTGTTTTGTTTGTCAAACTTCGAGAAAAGCTCAATAAACAATAATCTGTCCCAAAGCTGCAATGCCATGGATAGGTTGATTTATTTCACAAGTGCAGGTACAACATGGTACAACAAGACCTTGTAAGTGAAGAAGTCTTCTCATTCTGGCTTAACCGTGATCCAGCAGCAGCGGTGGGAGGTGAAATCATCTTCGGTGGAGTTGATGAAAAGCACTTTAAAGGGAAGCATACTTATGTTCCAGTTACCAAAAAGGGTTATTGGCAAGTAAGTGAAACCGGACAACGTAATACTTGACGCCTTCTCCTAAAACTCTTTTCTTTTCTCCTGGCGATTAGAAAAGAAAGTAATCTCATCAGACAATGTTTCTGTGTTTTTCAGATTGAAATGGGAGATATTCTCATTGGCAACCAGTCAACAGGTGATCTCTTAGAAAAACCTTAAGTAGTGAGGTTATATCATCTTGTTCGATACGACGATTAATAATCTTGAAAACACAATGCAATTTGACTTGAAAAATAACTCCATTAATAACGCAAACTAATAAGTATTTTTCTCAGGTGTATGTGCAGGGGGATGTGCTGCTATTGTGGATTCGGGAACGTCCTTACTCGCTGGTCCAACGGTATGTGCTCCAATCGTTTCATGAGTTGTGCTTTTGCCCCCTCTTTCTAAACTTAAGCAAAGAATTATTGAGCTATTGACTCTCGTACAGACTGTTGTGACTGAGATCAACCATGCAATTGGAGCCAAAGGAGTAGTGAGTACAGAATGCAAACTAATTGTTTCTCAATACGGAGAGTTAATCTGGGATCTACTCGTTTCAGGGGTGTGCTTTCTTGTTTCCCCGTTTCTTTATATTTCCTTTTCAACCTTGTAATTTATAATCCAAAAAAGATGGGACTAAGGCATTTTTATGTCCAATCTGCAGGTTAAACTTACATTTTTATGTCCAATCTGCAGGTTAAACCAGACAAAGTTTGTCAGCAGATTGGTCTCTGCTTGTTCAACGGGGCTGAGTATGTAAGGTCGGAAAATTTTCTCATCCCCTTTGTCTGATTCATCAGCGTTTCCTATTATAAAGTGTTAGGGAAAACACACCCCTAAACTGACGCAATAGAAAATAAACTAAAACAAAAATAACAGAAAAATAGAGAAGACAAAGATTTAGGTGGTTTGGAAAATTTTCTACGTCCACAGAAGAGGGAGAAAAATTGACTAACAGTTTCAGAATTACACGCTCATACAACTTTCGCATTTTCTCTCTACTCAAAATCGCTTACACCCTTACTTATTTCTCTCCTCACTTTTCTCTCCCTCTCTCTCAAAAGGAGGCACTCTTTTTCTGCACTTTTCTTTAAGCACATCTTTTCTTTTGAGCACACTTAAAAGTCTTGCACAAAGTACTTTTTTATAGACTCCTAGTAGCCCCGGCCCAAAAATATAAAACAGTAACTTACTCAAAAAACGCAAAATAGTAACTTTCTCAAAACCAATTTGAGTCACTTACCTAATAATCTCCACTTTAACTCAAATTCTCTCAACTCACATATTTGGGTATCCAATCTCGACGCACATCGTCGCACCCTTTATGGATAGGGTGACAATAATGCAAACTTCAACAAGAATAAACATACATCAAGTTCAAACTTGACACGATAAACTGTATTCTTCTTCAAAGCATCTTAATTACCATAAGTCTTCACCATCTTGCTTTCATTATCTTCAACTGTCATTATCTTGTTGCACTCTTTTACTCCTGTGACTTCTTTCTTTAACAATAGAAGAAGACTCTTCGTGGCTTGGCTCCACCTCTATAGCTTCACCTACAACTGTAGTCCCAACCAGCTTATACAAGTTTTTCACTTTTTCACCCTTCATGGCTATTAAATCACCTCTTGACTTGCATAAAACCACCCTTTGCATAGTACTCACAACCCAAAGTGTCTAAAGCCTCTAAAGAAATCAAATTTCTCCTTAATTGAGGAACATGCCTAACATTTGTTAATATCCTCACAACTCCATCAAACATCTTCACCTTAGCAGTACCTATTCCAACAGCTTTAGCACTAGAATCATTAGCCATCAACAAAGTATCGGCATCACAGGGTTTATAGGAATCAAACCGCTCTTTATGTGGACACATATGGAACGAACATCCAGCCACATATGAAATTGGCATCCAGAATCTAAAATCCAAGAGTCAGAAATATTTTCATCAGCAATAACAGAGTAAACATCGTCTTCGTTGTCATACTTGTCACCAATAACATTTGCAGAATTTGAAGTCTCTTGGGGTTCTTGCTTTCTTTTTCTTTTCTAGATGCTTCGTCAATTATTCACAGTTTCTCTTAATATGCCCATTCTTATAATAATAGTAGCACTCAGTATCCTTTCTTGGACGGGATTGAGAACGATCATTTCTCTTATCATAACATCTCCCTCGTGACTTGCTCGTATCCCTATTTGAATATGATTGTGCCACTAAAACTTGTTCAGCATGAGACGTACTATTTGGCTTCTTCATATTTACAGTATCTAATAAAGCAATGACACCTCATTTACAATCAACGTGTTAGTTTACCAATCTGTCCCAAAAGCTTAAGCTTTTAGGAGGTGGGCCAATAATAGTTTATACTTTAACACTCCCCCTCACGTGTGAACTGGACAATGGGCAATCGTGTGGGTAAATTAATTGGAAAGCCTAACACGTGAATATTTAAGCTCAAGATATATTAAAGACCCAACACATGATGACAATTTAAATGGAGATAAATAGTGCAATTACGAGAGTTTAAACTCAGGACCTCCCATTCTGATACCATATTAGTTTACCAATCTATCCCAAAAGCTTAAGCTTTTAAGAGGTGGGTCAACAATAGTTTTATACTTTTACACAATGTTGTCTTTTCAATTAAAAGTGTAGTCATCAAAGTCTCATATGATTTAGGTAGGGAGGCCAACAAAATTACCGTTTTATCTTCTTCATCAATTTTGACCTCTAAACTTAATAATTGAGTTATGCTGCTTATGCACTTATTAAAATTATTTATATGATCCCTAACATCAATTTCTTCATCTATCTTCAACTCATACAATTGCTTCTTCAAATATAATCTATTTGTTAGGGATTTCGACATATAATTTTTTTAAAATTTTTTCCATATCTCAGAAGGAAATGTTTCACTCATAAAGCTATATTTCAGTTTAGGAGCCAAACTTAAACGAATAGTGCTTACCACTCTCGCTACTAATTCTTCCCAATCTTCATCTTTCATATTTTCTGATTTCTTTTCTTGCAGCGCTTTCAGTAATCCTTGCTGAATCAGAACATCTTTCGCCGTGCTCTACCACGTGTTGAAATTACTTTTTTCATCAAACCGCCCAATCTGCTAAAACTTTATGCCGGACATCATCTTGACTTTTTATTTTTTTTAATCTTTACCATAGCTCTGATGCTAGTTGTTAGGAAAAACACACCTCTACACCCACACAGTAGAAAATAAACTGAAATAAAAATAGCAAAAAATAAACTAAAATAAAAATAACAGAAAAATAGAGAAGACAAAGATTTAGGTGGTTCGGAAAATTTTTTACGTCCACGAAAGAAGGAGAAAAATTCACTAACAGTTTCAGAATTACACTCATATAACTTTCTTATTTTCTCTCTCTACCCAAAACTCCTTGCACTCTTGTCTATCTCTCTCACTTTTCTCTCTCTTTCAAAAGGAAGCAGCATTTTTTTTTTTTTTTTGAGCAGATCTTTTCTTTTGAGCTCATATAAAGCCTTACACAAAGCACCTATTTATAGACTCCTAATAATTCTTGCTTAAAAATATAAAACAGTAACTTACTCAAAAAACACAAAATATGGGAAATCAATTTGAGTCATTTACCTAACATAAAGTTGTGTTTATGTTAGTATCCCGAGTATGTCTAGTTGAGTCAGAAATAAGCAAGGCATCGAGAGTATATTCTTTTCTGAAGGAAGGCCTTTCAGGTCATATAAATTCTCATGCTACACTTAAAACATTGCCTACAATATCTTAAACTGACACTCGAACCGCCTTGCCATGCAGTGGTAAAATTGAAACAGTGGTTGAGAAGGAAAATAGAAAGGAGGGAGATTTAGAAGCCGACCCGCCTTCATGCACTGTCTGTGAGATGGCTGTTGTATGGGTCCAGAATCAGCTAAGACAGAAGGAAACCAAAGAAAAAGTGATCGCATATGTCAATCAGGTGAGTTATTTTGAGACCACGCTTGTTGTTCTGTGCTCTAAATTGTTGAAAAAAACAACAAAGTTGTATTGAATGTTTGTGTTCTGATTTTGACAGCTTTGCGAGAGCCTGCCAAGCCCAGCTGGAGAATCAGTAATCAACTGCAATAGCATTTCAACCATGCCGAACGTTACATTCACCATTGGAAGCAAACCTTTCACGCTTACTCCAGAACAGGTAAGAATATAACATGACTGGTGATATTTGATACGTTAAACCTATGAAGATACGAACTGAAGTGGAACACAAACATTGTTTGATACTTATATAGCTTGTGCTTGAATTGTAAGAGAACTAACTTATTTTGCTTCAATCTTTTGCCTTGGTATGTAGTATATTCTGAAGACGGGAGAAGGCCTTACTTCAGTCTGCATCAGTGGGTTTTCGGCTTTCGATGTGCCTCCTCCGAGGGGTCCTCTGTGGTATCTATAATCTTAGCTTTTTGTGTGCTTTTCTTTTTTTTTTTTTTTTTTTTTTTGGCCAATTTTCATCGTCTTAGGGGGGAATG